ACTTTGCACACAGAACCCCCCCCCCCCAAAAAAAAAAACAAAACAAAACAAAACAAAACAAAAAAAACAAAAAAACAAAAAGCCTACCAGGATCAAACATAAGCTCTCCAATGCTAATAGTAAGTTGTGCATCCTTTTTGTTAGCTAACCGCCTGTAGTCAGTTGTTGCTTTCAACAAGTCTCACACTCACCTCCTCAGCACGCCTGGCTCATTGTTCTTTGTCGAAAGTCTCAAGATTGTCTTTCAAAATCTTCAGTCTTCAGTTCTAGATGCAATGAAGCACTGCCACAACATAATACTCCCTGTACTTTGGATTGTATTCCTCTCCCTTCTTTCTCTAAACATAAACAGTGTCTCTATTCGCTCCTTAAGTGATGATGTGATTAATCCTGCTTCCGGGCCCAAATTACTCCACTTTTAATAAGGCTTTTGTGTTTTTTACATGTTTTAATGCTTTGTATCTTGTTCTATTTAATCTCAACAAGCCCCTAAAAACAGTCAGTGATCACTGTTGGCTTCTCTCGGTTTTTATTTTATTAATTTCAAAGCTCAGTTTTTAGAACCTTACGATATAACTACAGTCCATGGATCATCTCAGTTGTTCTCCCGACTGAAGTTCGGTCCATTTACAGCATCCCGCCATGCAATTGCATTTGTCCAGAACCTTCGGGAACCCTCATATTAACTTTTATTGAGTGGAAAAAAGTTAGCGTTCATCCTCCAACTTCATTGTTTATATTATGCTAACATAGCTGTGTCGTTAGTGATCACATAGCACATTATTATATACCAGCTAGTCAAACTTCAGTAACCCTACAAATGTCACTGCTGTTTACTTTCCTGTCTTCATTTATGTCAGAAATGATTCTCTTTCTTTCTTGAAGATATTTTCTAGTACACTACTCTTGGGAACACTTGTGATAACTTTGTATACCCATCTCCTGCTAGTAGTAGTCTACACTGATTTATTTTCCTTTGGACATGATGCTTTATAAAGTGAGAGCTTAAACCCTCCCTAAACTTTTTATATCACACGTAAATGTGAAGCTTGTACTAAAGTCACTTTCAACTTGATTTTACAAGCTTTGGGGATTACAAAGTTAAAACACATAATTGCACAGCAGTGGCTTGTGCTGTGGCTCAGTAAGAAGTTCAGTTTTTCATTAGATCTAATACTGACCCTGTTGAAATATGATGTTTAAAATCCATTGCTCTGTTAATAAATCTTTGACGAAAACTTTAAATGCCGTAGCGGAGCTAATAGGTTTATCCACATCTGTATATACATTATATAGCGTGTTTATGGAAACACACAAAAAATGTTAGCCAACTTAATAGAAACCATGAGCTAAAAAGTAGGTAAGTATACTACTGAATTAAACATGTTGAATATCCAGAGCATTTTTCTCTACCTGCCCTTATATAGACTAAAGTCTGTATTTAGAACATTCTATTGATTTATCTAACTTCTTACAACGAACAAATAAAGATAAAGAATGTGATACAGCTTTTCAGATAAGGCCTGTTTTCCCATCACAGCCATGTGACCTTCTGCAGGTTGTGTTGCCTCCAGCTGCTTCTCTGTCTGCAAAACCACACATGAAAGCATTTCTGTCTCCATCTGCTGGATGTGCTGCAGCATGCTGCGGATGCCAGATGTTGTTCGTCCCATCGCACCCTCTGCATAATTCTATGTATATTCAGACAGATGCCTGGCAACTTTTCTCCCTTGAGACATTTTGTGTCTTTACTTAGGGACACGTGACAGCTGACTATATCAAATCTGCTATCTACAGCATCTGCTCATTGTGCCAGGTGGGCAGAGATCAACAATACAGGCAGGAGGCCACATCCTGCTTTTAATCCTGCTCAATCCTTCCAGTATTTTAGAACTCTGGGGTTTTTTTTATGACATTAAAATATCCAAAACACATTACTGGATGTCTTTGTCTGGATATCTCATCTCAAAAATAAGTTCTGGCTTGCTCAGCATTCTCAAGCTGATGCATATTTGGTTCTACTTTTATCAGCTTTCCTAATCCAGGAATATCATCCTATCTTTTCCATGGTATGAGATATGTAGTGCTGCCCTAACATGTTAGGAGGTCATTTGTGAGAAGACAAGTGTGCACATGGAATACATGGATTAAAATGAATGAAAGTAATTGTGCCTCAAAGATAAACAGCATGCATGTGTGAGTGTGTCTGTGTGTGTAAACTTCACTGAATTTTTACCATGTAATGGTTCTGTTTCTGAAGGCTTGGGTCATGCATTTAGAAACACATATCATCGACCTAATCATTGTTTCGAGCTCCAAGCACCCTTCATAGTATATTCTCTAATGGAAGTGGCCTCTTCCAGCAGGACAATGCCCCTTCAGTAGGACAGAACCTCTCAGGAAAGGAACATGACAAACAGACCATATTTCCAGGATCCTAATACTATAATCTAAATGAAACGTGGATTTAAACACTGAGACATCACCCACTGGTTTTTGTACTGCAAATTTTAAAGCCACAACTTTAGCATTTTGAACTGTGCTATTTTCTTGGCATCAGAACTAACCATAATTCAACAGGAAAGTACTGTAGGGAGCTAGATATGAAGTGGCTTTCCTAAATCAGTTGCATTTTATTGTTGAAGTAGTAAACTGAGTTAGCCCAGCTATCGCCAGGTCATGCTAACATCAAGGTCAAGCTAGCTAGTTTTGAGATTTCCCATTGTAGACAGCAATCAGGTGTTGTAATGTTTTTCTACATGTGGGTCACAAATAAAAGTTTTAATTTGTATTGTACATGTTGGTATTTAATACCATACTTCTGCAATAGTGTATTTGGCAGCATATTGTTAGTTTAGCACCAAAAGAATCACACGTCACTTCAGTCATATCTCTGCGGGTGTTTGTGGGATGGTGGTGTTTGCATGTGTTTGTTGGCAGGAATGGCCTCTGCATCCATAACTTAAACCCAAAACTTTCCTGCTACCATGATACTGAGGGTGCATAGGTGTTTTTAAGTCAGTTACAATACGGAGCAGCAGGTACTACGGAAAGAATTCATTCTGCTCTCATTAAGTGTGGCAATGAACGTTACGTGGAAATGCCCTGATATCAGCTCATTGTGCCAGTGGTATTCGGTGTTGACCAAATTTTATGCACGTGGCTAGAAATGGTAAGCATGCTAAGCATTATCTTTCGTGATAATCGGTTATAAACTGTTGTGTGCAGTCCCTCTAGTTTTTCGCAGACTTAAATTGTGAACATAATCAGACAGTTTGTTCGCAGTGAAAATAAGTTTGCTTTTCTTTTGAAGCAAACATCAACGAACTATCACGCAAAACCTGTGAAACTGTGAAAGTGCTAACTTTGCTCTAGTGTGCAAACTTTATATTACGAGAGAAACACTGCGATTGTGTTGTGATAGCAACAAACCAGAGCATGCTGAGTAGAAATTGTCACTATTTATTTCCCTCTAACATTATTTTGCTTCTTCTTTTCATGGTGATTACTTAAGCCTTGGACACAAACTCATTGAAGTGTCAAAGATTGAATTTCAGCAGATATAATGATGACATGCATTTGATATGGTAATAGGTTAATAAAATAAACACTTTTGCAACCTAATCTGTAAGAATGTAAAACTCTGTGCCACATTGATCTAGTGAACTGGATAATATGACCGTACAAGGCTCTATAATGTAAACTGATCTAAAAACTAAGCTGCTAGCAAACAGAAAAAAAAGGCTTTTTGACATTTTCTGAGACCTTGAGGCTTGTTGGTCCTTGTGGTTCTTGCAGTTGTTCACAACGTCTATGCTCACCCAAATGAAATAATCCTACCTATTAATGTAATGTGTGTGTACATCACGGTGGAGACAGCCACAGAAGCTACGGTAATGAAAAATAGTTAATTGCATATGTTTGTTCCTCGTCAGTTCACACAGTGTCTTTGGTAATCAAAGAAAAATTTGGTACCAAAATGTTTAATGTGATATTTCCATAATACAGAGACTCTGTATTCTATTCTAAAGGTTCAAGGTTCAAGGTTCCTTATTTGTCACATGCATAGTTATACAAGTATAACATGCAGTGAAATGTACCTGATACGCTCCTCAACATGTGCAAAAATTGGGGGGGGGGGGGGGGGAGAGGAAGAACATTATATATATTTATATTTATCATAACCCTTGTTTTACTTGGTAAGTCAATACAATAAAAAAAAACTGGTCTATAGTTTCATTATATAGAGTTTCATCATACGGTGCCATGATCCATTCTGATCATGGCACTGTAAAAGCAAACATTGATTAAAGCCCCTACTGCTATTATCATGGTTAATAGCACTAAACCGTAAGTGTTGTTGCCATTGCACATTGCACTTTTTTGATGATAAAATTGAGGTTATTTTCTCAGGCTTATATTATTTTTTTGTGTGAGGTGATGTGTTTGTTTGTTTGTGTTTTTTATATTTCTGTATGGACATACTGCAAATCAGTTTCCCGTTAGAGACAATAAAGTTACCATTGACCATTGAGCATTCATTCAGTGATTGTGCAAATGTACTGTTTATAAGGTTTGTTGCAGGTTTCCCCAACTCTCTGTGTGATTTGAAGAGCAAAGCTTTTTGCCAGTGTTTTGACTGGTCAGTAAGTTCAGAATGCACTAATTAAATGGCAACCCAATTCCATTAGGACAGTTAAAAAAATGTCTTACTACTGACCTAACTCCTGTCTCATAAGTGACTAGAGTTTTGTACAAAAAGTTAATTTTGCTCAATAGACTTTGAGAATCAGAATAGAAACCTGTTGAATTGGGCTCTCACATGGATAAGACTGTCACTAAACCGTCCTCTAGAAAATGATTAATAATGTTGAGCAAATCAGGAGAGAAGGTGAGGGGTAATTTTGTACTAAACCAAACAAAATTCCATCTGATAACCAGCAGACACCTGGATGAAGGACAAGAAAAACGATAATATGTGACATATTTAAAGCACAACCACAGAACTCCAAGTTCCCTCTCATCTACATACTGAATTGACCTGGTCTGTTTGTTTAAAAGGTACAACATGTTTTTGGAAGTCAAACTTTTGGAAGAAATAGGTAAGCTCTATTATAATTTAACAATATGTAAGCCATAATACAACTTTATTTGTGTATTATTTTAGCGCTTTACATGTCACTGTCAGTGGGGATTTTATACAGTGTAATGCACAAAGGCGAACGCAACTATTTTTGTTGATATGTTTAAGATTAGAGGGTGGATGTGTGAAGAATTCCAGCCACCGATTATAGACTGTTGGAAAAGTGAAGTCTGAGGGACTATATATTTGTATAGCCCCCTAATAGCGCCTTTAATAAACTGTTTAATATTAATGTCTTATATGATTGAATACTAATTTTGCTATATGGACATTAATGTCAGGAATAACTAGGAATGGGATTTGAAAAGATTTCATGATGCTGCTGTGTGGTAGGCAATGGACTCAAAATTCAGAGCTCTAGAGGCGAGGCGTAAGCCTGAGTTGTACAAAATGCTAAACTAAACTATGATTCAGATTATAAAGGAACACAGAATACACGGGCAAAAACAAAAGTAATATCCATGCTGCAGACTCTGTCATTACTTTCCTCTTAAGGACACAAACTGAAATCTGATTGTAGCAAAAATACAAGGGGGACCAATATGTCCGATCAGCAGACAGGCAGGCTTACAGTTCCAAGGAACTGGACTACTGCAAACCTGGTCTTGATTCCCATCCCTTGATGTAACACATCTCAAACTACTTGCAGGAACTTTTTCTGTACCGCTGTAATCTAATGCATTACTGAGCTAATCACAGGTAACTAATAATGTGTTACTTGTTTTACACAGAGTAAGCTCCTCAATTATCTGCATGAAAAAAAAAATCAAAGGTGCCTTTACGCTGCACACTTGTGTAGCAAAAAGCTCACATTAGCCACTTCTGACGAAGTTGGAAAATGGAACAACTTCTGAGAGAAAAGTTGCATTGATCTATCTTTTTTTTTTTTTAATTAATTAATTTTTTTACATACAATATTTTCTTTTGCCTTGGAAAGATCCCAACAGCCCCAAACTCAGAAACTCTGATCTGTAACATGACGAGTAGCTTCAGAGCCTGTCACTGACATGTATGTCTGTTTATTGTTTCTTCATCCATGAGAAAGTCAGAAAGCTGAGTAATAGGCAAAATATGACTAAGTATCTTACGTGAGTGCAGGGATGAACAGAATATTTATCTTAAGTATAAAAATCCTGAGAGTAAAAGAGTTGCTTCAGAATTACTATAATAATATGACCTCTACTGGCCTATGGTGACTCTGCCAAAGTAAAGGATTCTAAAGCTTCCACCTGGGTCTCCTGCAGAGTTCTTTTTAAACTGAGGACCCTGGATGCAACAAAAATGGCATAATAATGGTAAATTGCTAAAGTAGCAAACCCATTTCTACCAAACTGTTTTAATTCAGCCACATTGGATGGCTTTTGAGCATGAACAGCCTAGTTGGATATTCGTGGGAACTGGTACACGCTGTCGTATACGCCGGTCAAGCACATCCCGAACATGCTCAATGGGTGACATGTCCGGTGAGTATGCTGGCCATGCAAGAACTGGGACATTCTCAGCTGCCATCTGCCCTGAACAATGTGAACCATGATTCATCCGTGAAGCGCACACCTCTCCAACGTGCCAGACGCCATCGAATGTGAGCATTTGCCCACACAAGTCTGTTACGGCGACGAGCTGGAGTCAGGTCAAGACCCCGATGAGGACGACGGGCATGCAGTTGAGCGTCCCTGAGACGGTTTCTGACAGTTTGTGCAGAAATTGTTTGGTTGTGCAAACCAATTGTTCCAGCAGCTGTCTGGGTGGCTGGTCTCAGACGATCTTGGAGGTGAACCTGCTGGATGTGGAGGTCCTGGGCTGGTGTGGTTACACGAGGTCTGCGGTTGTGAGGCCGGTTGGATGTGCTGCCATATTCTCTGAAACGCCTGTGGAGACGGCTTATGGTTGAGAAATGAACATTCAATGCACGGGCGACAGATCTGGTTGACATTCCTGCTGTCAGCATGCCAATTGCACGCTCCCTCATTGCTTGTGGCATCTGTGGCATTTTGCTGTGAGACAAAACTGCACATTCCAGGGTGGCCTTTTGTTGTGGGCAGTCTGAGGTACACCTGTGCACTACTCATGATGTCAGATCAGCATCCTGATGTGGCACACCTGTGAGGTGGGATGGATTATCTCAATATAGCAGATGTGCCCACTACCACACATTTGGACTGATTTGTGACCACTGTTTGGGAGGGATGGTTATATTGTGTATCTGGAATGAATTTTAGGTCTCTACGTCCATCCCATGGGGAATGGGAGCAGTAACAAAGGTGTTGCGTTTATATTTTTGTTGAGTGTATGTTTAAAGATTAGAGGGTGGATGTGTGAAGAATTCCAGCCACCGATTATAGACTGTTGGAAAAGTGAAGTCTGAGGGACTATATATTTGTATAGCCCCCTAATAGCGCCTTTAATAAACTGTTTAATATTAATGTCTTATATGATTGACTACTCATTTTGCTATATGGACATTAGTGTCAGGAATAACTAGGAATGGGATTTGAAAAGATTTCATGATGCTGCTGTGTGGTAGGCAATGGACTCAAAATTCAGAGCTCTAGAGGCGAGGCGTAACACAGGAAGGCAGTTTTTTGGCTGTACTCTAACAAGCCTGAGTTGTACAAAATGCTAAACTAAACTATGATTCAGATTATAAAGGAACACAGAATACACGGGCAAAAAGAAAAGTAATATCCACGCTGCAGACTCTGTCATTACTTTCCTCTTAAGGACACAAACTGAAATCTGATTGTAGCAAAAATACAAGGGGGACCAATATGTCCGATCAGCAGACAGGCAGGCTTACAGTTCCAAGGAACTGGACTACTGCAAACCTGGTCTTGATTCCCATCCCTTGATGTAACACATCTCAAACTACTTGCAGGAACTTTTTCTGTACCGCTGTAATCTAATGCATTACTGAGCTAATCACAGGTAACTAATAATGTGTTACTTGTTTTACACAGAGTAAGCTCCTCAATTATCTGCATGAAAAAAAAAATCAAAGGTGCCTTTACGCTGCACACTTGTGTAGCAAAAAGCTCACATTAGCCACTTCTGACGAAGTTGGAAAATGGAACAACTTCTGAGGAGAAAGTTGCATTGATCTATCTTTTTTTTTTTTTTTAATTTATTTATTTTTTTACATACAATATTTTCTTTTGCCTTGGAAAGATCCCAACAGCCCCAAACTCAGAAACTCTGATCTGTAACATGACGAGTAGCTTCAGAGCCTGTCACTGACATGTATGTCTGTTTATTGTTTCTTCATCCATGAGAAAGTCAGAAAGCTGAGTAATAGGCAAAATATGACTAAGTATCTTACGTGAGTGCAGGGATGAACAGAATATTTATCTTAAGTATAA